TTTTTTTTTTTTTTTGGGGAGTAGATTTATTTATATTTCAGTGCAAAACTTACAACTATATTTTATAAAATATAATTAGTATGATTAAATACAATATTTTTTTTTAAGGAAATAGATATGCATTGATATATAAATAAATCTATTTCCATTATTATTATTATTATTATTATTATTATTATTATTTTTATTTTTATTATTATTGAAGGTTTAATTTCTTATTGCTATATACATGTGGATGGTCCTTAAAATCTACCCATTTTGTTTAAATTGAATTGATTGCTCTATAATTGCATAAAACCAGTCCTTTGGGGACCTTATTATTAATTAGTAGATAGATGGGGGTGCTTGAGCACGTGAAGTAGAACAAAGGATAAATAAATAAATAGAGATGCCCAGAGGGGCCGTTATGTAATTTGGACCACCTTCTTAATTTTTCTTCTGCAGGGTCTTCTGTGCATTCAACACAATGCATGTTTTCTGCAGCTCATTTTTTTGTGGCATCTTGGTTGTTGTAATGGGTCAGCCCAACCAAGTACTCACCATTTATGGTTTTATTCATTAACTTCTCTTCATTTTTTATTTTTCCTAATTTTGATTATTACTCCATGATTTTTATTATTTGGAAATTATGTCATGTAGAGTGTGTTGTAGTATGTGAGTTTGTCATATGAATTGATGTTATTTACTTCTATTAAAAAAAAAATGACATGTTCAAACTCAAAATTATATAATTTGGTGGTGTTTGCAAATTAACTCATAATTAGTTTGGGTCTGGTTATAAGTAGGGATGCAAACGAATCGAGCAGCTCGCGAGCATTCGAGTCAAAGCTCAACTCGAGCTCGAGTTTGACCGAACTCGAGCGGCTCGAGCACGAACTCAAGTCGAGCTCGAGTCCATATTTTTCATTGTCGAGCGGCTCGAAATATATGTTGAATTACTAAAATACCCCATATATAGTACAACATAGGTGCTAAATTATAGTTTTATTTTTCCACTTAAAATTTTTCGAGTCGAACTCAAGCCGAGCTCGAGCATTATCATTTTGAGTCGAGCTCGAGCAGCTAAAAAATAAATCAACCATGTTCGGTAACGCTAATGCTGGACTCAACTCGACTCGTTTGCAGCCCTAGGTATAAGTACTCAAATCTATGATCTTCTCTAATTATTTAGGTTGTGATTGAATATGAATTTGATTGGTTTTTTTGTTAACCATACTACCTAGTTAATTTTAAAAATGTGGTATGGATAGTTGCTAGTTGGAGTTTATATTTATATTAAAATAATATTTAAAATAAAATAAATAAAGTTAGTTTTGTTAATACTCAATTTTGGCCTCGCCTGTTAAGATATTACACGTGGATATGAATTGAATCAATTATTGTATTTTATCTTATTGTTAAGACATAAAAATAACACCGCTTGTAATAATATCGGACCCATTAAATATATATATATATATATATATATATATATATATATATGTATGTATGTATGTACTCGATGATGGACATCATCGAGATAAGTTTGAAGGGCTAGAGATAATCTTTTCTGGATGAGGCGGTGCCTCTTTCTCTCTACTCTCTCTTTATCCTATTTTCTTTCTACAAAAATGATCATCTTCTTCATTGATTATTCATTCAATTACACCAAAAACATATAGAAATCCAATATACATATATACAGATACGTTGATCAAATTTCGCGCACCAACAAATTTAATCTAAAAGTAAAAGAGATATCATGTGAAGCGATAATTTGTTAAAATTATGTGCCAGATCAGTATTGAAATAAAGTTTATATGATGTGTAATGTTGATTGATTAGTCT